GCGCCGAGCACTACATTGGGACGCCTGCGGGAGTGAGATGGTGCAGATCAATTTGGAGGAGAGCTGAGAAGATGAGGTGGGACATGAAGTACCTGAACAAGATGGCCAAGAGGACCTGGCCTGAAACCCCCAGCAGGAGCAAGGTCTACATCACTGTGGACAGGCAATACAAATATGGCCAGACACGAAATTGCCCGGGTTGTCATGCTGAATACGATTATAGCAGCCCGCACGCTGCAGAGTGCAAGGAGCGGTTTGCTAAGCTGATTGATGAAGAGAACAAGGTTAAGCGAGTCATACCGTTCTGCAAAGCCTGCAGAGCTGGCGCCGCCGCCTCAGCAATCTGCAGGACCTCAGGACGAGCCTCAGGAAGCGACAGAAATCAGTTGGTGTTGAGGAGATTGATCCAAATGCTGAGAAGCTGAAGTTGTGCGTTTGGCTTCAGATGTCATGTCTGAAGAGCAGATTGGAGGCAGACCCCACTGCACGTCATTGCCAACAAGGTTTATGACGAGAGAACTGGACTTCCTCTACATCCTGACAAAGCTCAAGCTGGGAGAAACCATGAACTGACCTTACGGATCGGTTCAATGTCAAGACTGACATTACCAGGCAGAGGGCCAAGGAATTGGGCCTGAAGCTGGTGTGGAAGCCCAAAAGAGATTAACGGTGACCCCGATGCTGCGCGAAGCAGGCTAGGTGCACAAGAAGTGAACACATACAAGCGAGGGGATGTGTTGCAGGGCACTCCACCTCTCATGGTTCACCGATTGCTGGTGGTGGCGGCCACTCGCAAAGCAAACAGGAGAGACTATGACATGCTTATTGCGAGGTAGTTGCATTTTCCAGCCTCCTCGTAGTATGTATTGTATGAAGATGATGATGTGATTTGGCTTTTGAACAAGGCAATGAGGTAGTCCTGGACGTTCATGGAGATGATTTCCTGGCTGTTGGATCAGCCCAGGACCTGAAGAAGCTGGACAAGCTGATGGGTGAAAACTATGAGGTAAAGATCTTGCCAAACCTCACATTTCGGCGGTGAGGTGGATCATGGAATGCACCTTCACAGGATGATCAGGTGGACGCCGGATGGAGTCACTTGAGAAGCTGATAAGAAGTGCAGCAAAATCATAGTCGACGAACTGGGACTTGCTGGTACAGCTGGAGTTGAAACCCCAGCATCGAAAGCGACAGGAGAAGGAGTCCGAGACAGAGATGAACTTGATACGGCCAAGTTTCGACGATTGGCTGGTGCCTTGTTGTACCTGTCTTTGCATCGTCCGAGTATACAATTCGCAGTTTCACAGGTGGTGGAAGGAATGCAGTCTCCTACAACTCTGCATTGGCTTCGACTTAAACGAGGTGGACGCCATATTGCAAAGTATCCCAAGGAGACATACTTGTGCAGCTATCAGAGTGTGCCACCACGACTTTGTGACTTTGTGATGCAGACTGGGCGACATGCAAGGAAACGAGGCGCTCAATTTCCGCAATGCGCATCAAGTATGGTAAACATTTGCTGGACTCATCATGTGGTAATCTCTCATTGCTTTGAGTTCAGGAGAATCCGAATTTTACGCACTTGTCAGAGGCGCGGGGTGTGGATTGCAGGCGAGTCAGATTGTGAACTTTCTGGTCGATGATCGCGAGTTGGTCTTGCTTTCAGACTCAAGTCCAGAGGAATGGCCAACTGTCGAGGACGTGGCAAAGTGAAGCATCTTTCGATGAAACACCAGCTTGAGGTTGAGGTTGTGGGCACGAGGTTGCGGCCAATTGAACAGAGCGTTGCAGCAGCGGTGATTTTGTGCAACATTCGAGGAGCTGATGCGTAGCCGACTGAGGACAGGTTAGCAGTTTTCGGCTTGGCTGGAATGCTTATGTGGCTTTTCATGTTTGCAGCGCTTGCCATTGGATTATGGTGGGTTCAGTCATGGAGGGGGAGATCCAGGCCGAGATCTTCGTTGACTGAGCAGATTACAATTGAGCAAACTGACACAGAAGCCAGTGCAAGCTCGTTGCGCCGCAGATTTGGCAGGCATATAATATAGGAGCTCACGTCGGGCAAGGCGTGAACCTGAAGTTGAGCCTACACAAGGATCAACGGCAAGTGGATCGGGAGAGACTCTGCTCAGGCCGGATCACTTCGATCCAAGAAGCCTTGGGAGCCGCCACCGTCGCTGGAGTTGCGATATGAGGTGTTGCGATGCTTGCTATATGCAGTGCTGCGTGATGGACTTCTCGCAGCGGGATTGACAACGCAAGGTGATCGCGAGGCACTTGTGCAGAGCTTGGCGCGAGTTTGGAGGTGCGCCACAGCTAGGCAGCGCAGGTACTTTTTGTTCCTGTTCAGGAGGATTCGTGCCAGGCCTGAAGGGAGGAACATAGAAGACTCAATCAGTGTTTGGATTGAGCAAAATGATCCCAGACTTGATCAGCATAGGCGGTCAAGCTAGCATGATTTGCACTTTAGCCATTGAACAGGCTATAGCGTGGAGGGGTGTCACGGATACTAGCTTGTTTGTTGTGCACAGATGTACATGCAGGTAGTAGTGCTGACACCATGTTTGAAGGGCTAGTGATGAGCCTTGTGAAGTGGTTGTGTGAATACATGGCCATGGCTCAAGAGCCTCTTTCAGCATTGCTTGCACATAGACACTTGTGCGCCAAGCGGGAACAAACAGCGGTCCGTGCTCTGTTTCAATTCCACTTGGGTTGGGGTCTGAAGGTCAATCCGTGGCTCCACGGGCGACCAAAAAGAAAGGATATTGGGGACGGCTCCAAACGACACCAGGGAGCCAAACATCAGTTGTAGGGTTTCCCCTTCGCTGCCACATCGCAAACTGCTGCAATCAACCTCGTCTTCAGGACAACGAGTTCAAGTCCTCGAGGATGAATTGGGGCAGCAAGCTGCAGGCGGGATCAAAATCTGCCCATCCTGGTGTTTGTGCAGTCAAAGGGGTGGCTGCTATTTGCATGTCCCCAGCGGAGCGCAAAGAACTTGTCAGGCGGGTGCAGCATGTGTCGCGTTGTTTGCCTTCTGTCCATCGGCCTGCTGGCAAGGCAGACGCTGACCAGCGTCGAACTCAGTTTCCGGACGGGGGGCAGATCAGAACATGTGTGCCCAATTCCCAATTTCTGAGTCATGCCAGCATATAAGGCTTTCACACAGGCATCCAACGCTGATGGCTCCACAATAGCTGGCTCGCAGTTGCCTTTGCGATTCCATTCAATGTCGTGGCGGGCAGCTGTGAACCGTAGAGCCTCGCTGCCTGATATTGGCCTGGAGGCTGTGCTTCTGTGCCTTGGAGATTCGTCAATGATAGGGCCTACATTTTTTTGGAAAAAGGACACCAATCGGTCACGGCACCGTTGCCATACATGGCATTCTTTTTGTGACCCATGATAGCAGGACGCCGTGGTTGTCAGATCGGATGTAGCTTTGCTGTTGGGCTCCCTTGGTAGGCTTCCTTGCTTGTATGCCCCCATTACGGATTAGGGGATGCGGCTCAGGGTGCCTGCGCAAGTTCAGAGCCTGTCTTGATCAGATGGTACTGGCCAGTGCAGTCAGGATCACTTGCAAGGATGGGACCCTACGCATTCAGCACAATCTGGAACACGATCGTTTCAAGCAAACCCTGGGAGGTGCACACATATGTGTACATGTGTACACATATATGTAATACTTGTGTATATTCACTCACAAACTTATTGTGATGTATTGTTATGTTTGAAGAACAACTCACTCGTTTACAGGCTTGCAATGCTCTAAGGCTGTAGTTTCCCTCGCCCCAGGTGGCAGCAAGAGGAGCGCAGCAGGAAGGTTCTGCAACAGGAGGCTTGCTCGCCATCAAATTTTGCAGGGTGCTGGTTTGCAGTGGCTTGGGCCATCTCAAAGGACGTTGGGTCAGAATGTCCGGCAGGCTGTTGGGAACTCGCTAGATTTCCTAACAACCACATAAAAAACTACCTCTTCCGTGTTCCGTAGGACAACCGCATATTTCTTGCCAGATACTACTTCAGAGCCATTGCCAGGGAAGCCATAGCAGCCTAGTAGTGACTATTAGTGGCTATTGACGGCCAGAACGGGCCACCAAGCACCATGGGCCCCTCAACCTTTCGTGCCATCCGCTTTGGATCAGTTTAGACTCTCAGATATACAGCCGAAAGCTTGATCATCACAAATTCTCGTATTTAACCGAGATCCAGAGCAAGCTTCAAATGAAATCAAGCAGCGTAGCTCATGACGCCACACATTTCAGTGGACGACATCCAACATGTAGAGGCGACTTCAACAAGTCTGCAAATGACATGCAGCTGTTCCGGAAAGCGACACTCGCACAGAGCACATTTCTCAGTAATAAGCACCCTAAGCATTTGGACGTAAGATAGCCGCACTGAAACAGGCAGTATATGTGATTTCCTTTAAAGACCATGTAAAGCTTGGGATTGGAAGCTTGAATCATCAACCATGACCTGGAAAGAAACATAGCATCGAGATTCAGATTGGGCTGCTCATTGCAAGTGCTGCCTACAAGAAATTTGGATCTGCGTCGGAAGTAGGACCCCCCGATGCTTTGGGGGGATTCTATCAGAACCCTGCAGCAGAGACAGAAACAGTCTCACATGAACAACCCAACAATCATCAAAGCGCATCAATGCATGGGTTCCATGCGAGCATTTTGGAGAATGAGATGTGTGCCATGCGAGGAGGGCGCTTGCCCAAGAGGTACTTTTTCCCGCTCGGCGGCTCTGAGTGTTTTTCCCGCTTGACAAACCCCGCCGGGCCCAGGATCATTTGGGCTGTGCCTTTGGCCATCTCTCTGGGTTTGAGTTTTGTTGCATTTACCTGTCTTAAATGAACGGGGCGCCTCCCATTCGTTGAGAGAAAAACCATGCCACCAGTTGGGCTACGGTCTCAAATCAGGTCCATGCCCGAAGCATGATGTGCATGTGCTCAATGACTCAGATGCAGCGCAAGTTCAACGAGGAGCAAGCCAGGCATGCCGAGGCTGGGATGTGGGCAGTTGCGAGATGATGCAAGATGTAGTTGACTTGGTTTGCGTGCTTGGATTTACCGCGTCCCAACTCATTTCAACACTGTATTGGTTAAAGTCAAGGTTAAAGAATCTTTTCTGCTTGCGTGCTTAATCAAGGGGGTAGCCGTGAGAAACTGTTGCGCAAGACACCAGCGATGCGATACACAAGTGTTGAATCAGCAATCAATGGGGCCCCCTATATATATGCACATGAACAAGGATTAAGCATCGCACATCGCCTTTGGAGCTGTATCTTCGTTGTCAGAGGCCTATGGAGTTCTGATCGACGCTGCTTTTGGAGGTTCCAAGCTACTTCAAGGTCTTGTTCCAACCATCCAGTACATCCCCTTGAGTGCGGGTTCCTTGCGTGAATGTATTCCGCAAGGGGCCTCTCTTTTTGGATAGCACTGAAAGGAAATAAACAATGACACCAATGGACCCTACTCTCAACCCTGGATCAAGCAACCTTGGCAGATTCCCGTCATTCTGGACCCATACAGGAAGACACCTTGTCAGAACCCCCATCATTTTGTAAAATGCAGCCAGCCAACCCTAAGAAGCAAAACAAAATAGGCCCCACACATGTCCACCATATTCTCCACGCCTCCACACCCCCTCTCCAATACCCCCTTTGGTGGAATGGTCCTGTAATGTATGCATCGCGTCATCCCTCCCCCTCCTGTTCCTGCTCCCCCTCCTCCCCCTCCTCCCCCTCCTCCCCCTCCTCCCCCCTCCTCCCCCTCCTCCCCTCCTCCTCCTCCCCCTCCCCTCCTCCCCCTCCCCCCTCTCCCCCTCCCCCTCCTCCCCCTCCTCCCCCTCCTCCCCCCCTCCTCCCTCCTCCTCCCCCTCCTCCCTCCTCCCCTCCCCCTCCCTCCCCCCCCCTCCCCACTCCCCTCCCCCTCCTCCCCTCCTCCCCCTCCCCCCTTCCCTCCTCCCCCTTCCCTCCTCCCCCTCCTCTCCCCTTCCTCCCCCCCCCCTCCCTCCTCCCCCCTTCCCCCCTTCCCCCTCCGCCTCCCCCCCCCCTCCCCCTCCCCTCCCCCTCCTCCCCCTCCTCCCCCTCCTTTCCTCCCCCTCCTTCCCCTCCTCCCCCCTTCCCTCCTGCTCCTCCTCCCCCTCCTTTCCTCCCCCTCCCTGTTCCCTCCCTTTGGGCGTTGCACGTCAGGAGGGCAGGCGCCGCAAAGACGAGGAGCGGCAGCAGGTGGCGGCACTGGAGCACAGCCTGGTGCAGCAGGTGCCGGAGACGACAGGGCTTTCAGTGGGATGCGAGATACTCCGCGAAAACCCGCTTTTGCTTCAGTTTTCTTGGGCGGTTGGGGGGGGGGTTCAAGGCATTCGGTGTGAGTTGTGGCTATGGTTCCTTCCATTTGGGATGGATATTGGCGAATCGTCTCTTGGCTCTCGCCCCGCCGATTCAGCTGATTTTCTGGTGATCTTGCGCTGCTTGTCGCAAGGAGCCCTGTTAGCGGGGGACGCCCCAACGCATGTTTTGGATGGCTTTCGGTTTTAGGTCGCGGCCGCAGCCGCGACCTTTTTCATCATCGATACCGTTCATCCAGTGCGCATTTTTGTTGAGGGTACCTTGTTCAGCTTGGGTGAACGGGAAACCAAAAGGAACGTCATTTTTTTGGGGATCTCCCTGTTTTGACAAATACCCAGCTGGATTCCACTGGGACCATTCTTGGTTCCTTCTTGTGAGGCAGAGATCGAAAAGGCACGGCAGGAGGAGGCGGAAGGCCGGCGCCGGAGAAAGCAGCAGGAGCGCCCGACTCCTGACGCGACGTGGCGTGGGTAATGTGTACTCGTCTGTCCACGAACATGGAAGCTGACTCAGGGGTCCTGGAAGACGATTTTCCTTTCAAAGGGACCTTCTGGTGGGTTCCATGTTGGTGGACAGGAGGGTAGTTGTTTGGGATTAAGAGGGATAACATCAGGACATCGCATCACAATTGGACTTTTATTTACCCTCCAAATGGTTTGCAAGCGAGTCCGCCAGTGTCAGCATCACCTCCCGTCAGTTTTTGGAAAACGGCATAGCGTGGCCATGGCCCGCCCTTTGCTAGACACGCTGAGAGCAAGTTGCAGGTGGCTCGACGCATCAATATTTTTACCCCTTGTGGTAAAGGGGATGACATGGGGACTCACAAATGCACACTAAAAGGATTTAAAGGGGGTTACTCATTAAGGCACAGTTCAGAATCACCGTGGCTTATTTGCTGCTTTGTGGTTGAGACCGGACTGTCCGATCTTGCCCTACCAAGTTCCCATGCTCAACGGGATGTTCAAGCGACCGGATCCCATGGCCCGATCGACACGCCACCAGGCCCTGTTGCTCGGACCTTTGAATTCAGCGTCTTCCGAAGCTGCTGCTCCGGTGCTGCGGGGAACCTTTTATTGTGGCAGCATCGGACCCTAAAACGCCCTGGCAAGGTAGGCCTTTGGTCTTTTTCCCTCCAGCGTGAGAGTAGATCGCACACTTTCCGTTATGTTTTTCGGCAGTCTCCCCGCGTCGTTTGAGGTTTTGAGGTTTCGAGGGAAAGGAGGCCAGGGACGCACCATGACTCTACTTTTTCACCCAACTCTAGGTACTGTCACAGATACTGTGTTTTTTTTTTGGGGGGGGGAGGTGGGAGGGAGGGGGGTTTGGTTTGGCCCAACCAGACAATCCCTCTGGATTGGAGGCACCCTATCCCAGGGCCCCTGAATTGGTGGTTTCGTGCTTTGGTACGCTGAGTCTGTCTTCTTTTGAGTGTATCCCCTTTCTTTCGTTTTTTTTGTGTGGGGGGTGGGGTGGGGTCTGCCTTCTTTAACCGACATGTTTGTGTGTATGGGGGGGGGGGCTGGGGGCAGGCTCCCCTAAAAGACACACCTAGGTGTGTATCTGTGTGGCATCCTTCCAGGAGATGGCGAAGCAGATGGCTGATGCTGCCAAGGAGGCGCAGGAGAAGAAGGCGCCGGAAAGGAAGGGGAGACACCAAAAACAGGCACCTACCCTTCTAACCCCGAAAGGGAATTGTCCTTACCCTTGAAGCCGAATACTCCTAACCAAAGTGTGTATGCTTTGCGGGATCTGTGGGAAGACAACCGTAATTTTTGGCAGATAGTTCCCGGCAGTGATCCCTATAAATGCAATAAGATAAACATCTTACTGCTGTGTCCCTTGGAGCGCGTGTCGGTTTATTTCTTAAGGAAGTTCCCTGTGGGCACCAAGTGCCAAGGGAAGCAGTGTCCAACGCGGTACCACACCAAACCCAGCATGGTCTACTATGTTCCGGCCCTTTGGTTTATCTGACATAGAGGGTCCTTCTCCCAGTCTACATTAGCCTGGCCAGTAGAATCACACACCATGCTCAGCTACTGAGATTTGAAGGCTTTTCCAGCGCAGCAGCTCCGAATGTCCAAATGTCCGTCCCTCTAGCCGTACTTCTTCGGCCTCTATGGTATGTACTAAGTTGGCTCTTCCTATTCTTGGGCTTCGGGCTTTCTTCTCCCCACGAGTTCTCCCCACGAGTTCTCCCCACGAGTTCCCGAACCATTTTTCAGATTTCAAGCTGTCCCTTGCGCTGACGGCATGTTCTCATGCCAGGCCTTGAAGAAGCACGAAGAGGCGCAGAAGGACAGGCCCCAGAGATTGCGTTCACGGCAGATTTTGCGGTTGCCCCACAGATTGCAAGTGGAGGAACCAGGGACCCCCTGAAATGTTTGCCGATACTTGGCAAGGATTTGCTTCCGCCGTAGCGGTTGGAGCTTCAACTCGATCTGCCGGTAGCATCGCAAGACCCACCAGCCGCTGCCACCTTATGGAGCAGCCCTTAAGGGTCGCAGATCTGCAACTGCAAACTTGCAACCCAGCCCCCTTAAAGAGTAGGATTCAGTTCGGGGATCGACATGAGCACTACAAGGTTTGTGTGAACTCCAAGCAGACAGTGCCTGTGCCGTGTGATTGATTCCTTGGCTTGAGTTGACTCTTCGGTCCCTTCGGGCAACCCTTCGGGTGAAAGCAATGGCGAGACTGTTTGACTTGAGTTTTGATCCACGTGCTTGCAGAGGTGACAGACACCCTTTCCCCGACTTCGGAAGTGAAGCAAAGCTGAGCCCAAGTTGGAGTGCTGTGCCCAACTGCATGGCCCAATGCCAAGGGTTTGCTATTGCCTGTGCTGGTTGCCATTCAGTCACGGATACATCAACATTCGCATGCGTCTGATGAGCTGTGCCCCAGCGACATTCCCTTTAGGCAGACTCATGGGTCTGTTACCTGCATGACAATTGTAAAACTTGAGTTATGAAAGGTGTGCATAGGTCAGCTTTGTTTTTCCCGAAAGAATCGCGAAGGGATCTTCCGTGCGGATTGCACAACCCCCCTGTTGGTGAGTAACCCCAGTTTTCCCAAGGGCCCCAGTGGCAACTTGGTGAGCTTGCCGCGTCTTGCAGAGAGCAACTTGCCAGAGCCATTCGCGCAGAGTGAGTTGCGCAGAGCCATCTTGCGCAGAGCCAACTTGCTTGCCATTGGCTCTGCGCAGAGCTACTTGCGCAGAGCGCAGAGGCGAATAGTCTGGGCATGATGGTCTGGGCATGGGTGTGAATAGTCTCTGCTGGAGGACCGCAACTTTCAACTGCGAAAGTTTTGCTCGAAGTACACTTTCGCAGATAGGGATCGATAATTGCACTCGCAGCTGCCGCCGAATGCTTTCGGGCCACCCGTCTTCTAGCTTCATTGGCTCCCCATGGCTATGGATGGTTTTAATAGGGGCTGGTTTCCCAGTTCTCCATTGGCTGCCTCACAACTGTTCCCCATGGTTCTCTATTGCTCTCCATCTGACTCCCATGGTTCTACTATTTCCCCTCACCCTCCATGGTTCCACGCTGTTTATGGTTCCCCGTGGTTCCCCGTTAACGCCCTCTGGTTTCCTCCATGGTTCCTCATGGTTTGCCATGGCGAAGCTCGCGAGGACCTGTCGCTCATGAAGGCTCAGATCGCCCGGGCACCTGCGAGTTGAAATCAAGTCGGATGCGGCAGGTGTGGCAAAAGCGGGACGCTCTTCGAATGGTTCCCTCCCCCAAGGACCGGATGTGGGGGCTGGTCACATGTGGGCTGCGTAGGACACCCCGTTGCCCATAGCCGCAGCCCAAAAGGGCTGCTAGTTTCACCTGCGCTGGAGTCCGAATAATCACTGAGTAGTTCGTTGCACATTTTTGTAGGCACATGGGAGTCTCTTCTCTAGTTTTTCACCAAACGCAAACACCTGACACTCGCTTATCTTCCCATCCCCTGCCAACAGTCTCCATCTAGTCGCTGGCCCGTCCGTCCGGGTGAGGGCGGGGAGCAGCGTGATAGTCGGGTGCTGGACGTACAAGTTGCCCATCAGCTTCAATGCAAAAGCAGCTTTCAAACAAACGCGCTTCGACGTGTCGGCGGGCGAGTTGCTTGGCGAAGACCCTCCATCACGCAAGGGCCTTTCATATTTCCGTTAGAGGGACCACGGGTGAGCCCAGTTGACAAGACTTTGGCGCACCAAGATAATATGCCTTCCATTGATCCTGTGATTAGCTGTGCCTCGAGATGCCTGTTTGCTTTTTTGGCCGTGTCTGAGGCTCTCATGGACCAGCAGGAACGGCAGCGTCGGGGCCCGTGGAGTTGCGCGAGTTCAATCGGAGCAGGTTAGACTCAATTTGAGGACAGGTGCTTTGCGCGGAGGTCCGCACAAACATGCACATGTCGTGTGTGTTTCGCAGAATAAAGGGTCCTCATTTCGAGCTTTTGGATGGTTTTCTAGGGGAAACTACATGAAGCTGATTACCCCTAATTTTGAAAGGGTACTTTTTTCATGGGATGACCGTGACCGTTGAGGAACACCACCAAGATGTTGTTTTTTCCCCACAAGATGGGACAAGTTACCCATGGTCATCAGCAATATTGATTAACCTCCCCTGTGTGTGTATATCTTACACAAGAGGCTGGTCACCTTGCTGCCAAATGATTCTCCAGATGGCCTGGCTGAGCCGCCTGCATGCCCCCCTCCCCCCCTCATGCGCTCCTCCGGCCACTTGATAGGGAGGGGGAGGATGTTGACTGCAGCTGAGGTGCTCAAAACCTGCAGAGGATCCGGGACAAGCAGGCGCAAAGTGTGGCAGTAGCTTGGTGTTTGGGCGTGTTTGCTTGCGTGTCTTGGGTGTCGGATCTTGGCACAACTCATGAACAGATTGGCTTACACTGATGGTGCAATCACATTTGCAGGGTTTGGTCATGGCTTGTGAGAGGGGTTGTAAAGACTTCCAGCTGGGCAGCGAAGCTTCGAGAAGTGTTGTGGTCTTCAATTATTGGGCTTTTGGGGTGTGGTGGCAAGCACACAATCTACAGTGTTTTACACTTCCCCTTGCGTCAACTTCAAGATTACTATTCTTGTTACCACTATTATTACTATTATTGCTATTGTTGCTATTGTTGCTATTATTGCTATCAGTGCTATTTATTATTATTAGTAACAATATCCTTATCACTATTATTATTATTCATTCCAATTACATGTATGTCTACATATCTATGATTAATTTGCTAAGTAGCTTGCCTTCTTAAGTTGCAGGAGTACAGGACGGCAGTTCTACTGCGCATTGCCAGTGCCGCACCTGCGAACAAACATCTCGGACTGAGCATGGAGATATGGGGGGCGGCCTTTGGAGCTTTCTAACATCTTCCAACCAAAAGGCTCCACATGGTCGGTTTGGGCTTTCCGGCTTTCCCTGTTGTCCCACACTTCAGTTGCCAGGGCCAAGCGCAAGCGCAGTTCGAGGCGGGGATCGGAGGGATGGGTTTCGCCTTCCGAAAGGATGCAAACTGGAGTCCTCATTTGGGTGCCCGGGTGTTCCCCTTTAGTGGTTGATCCTAGAGCGCCGTAAATGTTGGGAGGGGGGGGTGGTGGTTGAAGCGTCCAAGGCATGTCTAGTACTGTTGACAGGGATGCGAAATACTTCTGTCATGCTGGGTTTTGATAGCCAAAGGCCAGGATTGGAGAGGTCTCTAGTGTTGCCATGTAGCCATAGGCTGATTGGAGCAAGAGGCAGTCAAACCCATTTTGTGTCGCCGCCGTAGGTCACACCCAAGTTGCTGCATTTCACTGTCCTGCCAAGGCCGGAGCAGGCAATGAAGCCGCGCGGCTCCGCCAGGAGGAGAAAACTTGCAACCGGTCTCTGGGAGAACCATGGATTGGATCCGTGGGATGGATTCTTGCCTTTCTGGGAACCATACTGTTAAGATTTCGTTCTCGACCCCTTAAATGTTGCAGGGCATGGGACTAGTTTTGAGACGAGAACAAGGGGCTCTTCCTTGGGGAGGCCGCGGAAATCACTCACCTCGGTCTGACTCCAGGCCCGGGCATCCACCCTAGCTCCAGTTCCCCGTCACTCTGTAGAACGCGTTCCTCGAGCTGTTCTGGCCATATGATCAATCTGGGCAAAGCACACGTGGTATTTCAGATGCGGCATCGGACCATTCGAGTGCGGGTGTCGCAACCAGTCCAAGGGGCAGATTAGTCGAGTTGTTTATGCATCCAAGTCACAGGACATGCCAAGGAATGGTTCAAAGTTGGCTGGATGTGTCCCATGGTTTACATTGTTCACAAATATAGCAGCGGATCTCCCCAAGAACCAAATTTGGGTCTGCAACAAGGCTGCAAGACAATCCATTGAAAGGCTAAGCAATGGTACATTGCAAGGGAGAAACTGAGCTGACTGAGACTCTGCGACTCTCACTATTTGGGAGTTTGACCTTCGTGCTTTGGGCTGTCAATTTTCTCTGCCATGTCCAAATGGCAAACTGCCAGTGCCTTTTCGCAGTTCAATCAGGTCCCTACGCCAGTTCGGTCAGACCGAGTCAGACCCTTTAAATGTTCCAAATCTCAAACCTTGCAACCTTTTTTTCGGATCCCTTATTTGTGGTAACCTTTGTAACCTTTGCATCCTTTGGAGTTGTTTGCGCTCTTTATTTTTCACTTGATCCTCATTCCAGTTTCGCTTCCGCGCCCATGGCGGCCACGGCCTTCCTCGCGGCGCCATTCCACGCCCCGGGCGCCGCGCCTCGCGCGGAAGCCGCGGGAGCCGCGGGGCCGGCGGGACCGCCGGCGGCGCCGGCGGCTGGGGGCGCCGTCGGCTGGCGCACGGATGGCGCCTGGGGCCTTGCGGCCCGGCAGTGTGGAGGTCGCCCTGAGTTGTAGGAGTAAACTAGCTATCAAGCCGATCGGGCATTTTGGGGGTATCCAGGATGCAGAAGGAGTATTTATCCCGGCACCTACCACAAACCCAGCCTGGGCTTCCCGCCCTTCGGTGCGCGCAGCTTCAGGTTGGCCTCGCCGCCCTCGCGGCGCGGCGCCGAAAGGTTGCAGGGAGGACTCGGGCGGCGGCAAGCCCCAAGAGCCCAGAGGTCAAGGGCCCCAAAGGCCCCGAGGGCAAGCCGGAGGCGAAGGCCAAGCGGCCGGCGGCCTTTGAGCCCAGTGCCCTGGCCGAACTGGTTCGATGGACCGGATGCGAGTGTTTGAGTTCGCAGCTTCGGTCCAGGGGTTGTCGGGGTTCCAAAAGGAGGCGTTTGAAGCAATGATGGCAAGTGCTGTTTGCCAACAAAGAAGTACGTCGTTCGGCATCAGCAGTCACAGTGCCGCCAGGCTACTTACTACGAGAGGATGCTACATCAACCATGCTCACGTCTGGCCATGTACCATGACAGGTCTTGTTCCAGGTATGATTATTTCAGCTTTGGAGGAGGGCTACCAGCGGAAACACGTGTGCCCGTCAGCGCACACAACCAAAGGCGCAGGCGACTGGAGAAGGCAAGGATTTGAGGATGCCCACCTAAGGAGAGTAGTTTGGTGTGTTCAGAGAAGGCTTTTTTTTGCCGTCGCACGGCATCGCCGATCTGCTCGCCGAGGCAAGCAGATCGGAGTCACCGCGCCCCTGGGCTACTTCGACCCCCTGGGTATCGCGCCCAAGGACGAGGAGACCTTCTTCGAGTACCGGGCCTGCGAGCGCCGTGGCTAAACGGAGCTCGTCCGGGTCGGGTGAAAGTAGATGGACTCTCCCCATGTCGGTTTTGTCATACCCCTTGACTCAAGGGCAACAGGGGAGAACAGGGCCATGGTCTTGTCGGGGTGCACCCCGGTTGCCGGAGGGAGCGGAGCTACTATTCTGGGCAAGTTGTGGTGGTTTCTCAGAACAGGGCCCCCATGGGCCCCCTAAAATCGGTTGCTTCCTGTGGTTTCGCAACCCCCAGCCCAAAGAAAGGGGTCCACCGTTTGATTCCTTCTAGCGGTTTTTGCAATGGCAAGTCAAATCCAAGGGGCGGTAGGTGACCCTTCCTCGTGATTTTTCGTACCGGTCAATGAGACCGAGTGGCCTAATCCCCAATTCACATTGCGAGGGTTGGAACCTTTCGTGAAAGATTATGCTTGTTTGCTTTGTGTTGCCCTGTTGAATCTGTGCATTTCACCTTGGACCAAGGGAGAACACGATGGCTGATGAGTAGGACGAAAGTGCAGGCCGGTTTTTTGATTGGCTCCGGGCTAAACTCGTGCCATCAATTTGGTGAAGGTGAGTCTGATCAAAAAGCGCTAGGCCTTGCCCTTGCAGGGCCTTTGGTTAGCCTTGCTCCGGTCTCTCAGCGAAACAGAGCACCCCGTTGCCGCTTTACTTGATCCAACTGAGAGAACCTGTCATATGGGTGGTGTGTGCCGCCATCCCATGCATGTGTTGCTTCTTCTTTCGTTTCCATGGCCCGTTTTGGTCCCATGTCGTTGTGGTTTATTTTGTAATCCCAAATGGCAATGCCTCATTTGTTATAGCCGGTGTCCCCCTTTCGTTCTTTTCTTTTTTTGGGCGCGGGGGATGTTACACAGAAACAACTAAACTAAGCAGCTGGCGAAAGAGTCTTGGAGTTGAAAGCGCGGAGAGTTTAACTCAACCCAAACCGGCCGAGTTGCTTCTT